GCCTACCGAAAGATTCGCATGGCAATACAGGTATTGTGGTCTTTGTTGACCGTTTGAGCAAGATGGCTCACTTAGCGGCTGTGCCAGATTCGATCGATGATGTGGGTACAGCGGAGCTGTTTATCGATCGGGTGTTTCGCCAACATGGCTTGCCAGTGGCAATTGTTTCTGATCGTGATCCTCGTTTTACGAGTAGATTTTGGAAGTCCGTCTTCCAGGTGCTGGGTACACGTTTGGACATGTCCACAGCGGATCATCCGCAGACCGATGGTCAAACCGAGCGTGTAAATCGCGTTGTTGAAGATATCCTCCGCAGCGTTTGTGCTGAAACGCCTAAGCGTTGGAGCTTTATGCTCCCTGTAGTTAAATTTGCACTCAATAACTCCGTGCACGCCTCTACCGGCTACACTCCGTTCTATGTCAATGGTCTCACACACCCACGCGTTCCTTTAACGCTACCACCGAGTGGTTTAGGGCTTGGTGGGGGAGAGGTTGCCGATCGGCTTGCTGATGTCAGCCCTAATACTGTTAGGAAACAGGTAAATGCGTTTCTCGCAACGCGGCTCAATGTCTAACGACATGTGCAAGACGCAATGGCTGATAGCCAGGACAAACAAAAGAATATGCGGATGCTAAAGGCAGAAGTTGTATTTATGATCATGAGGTCGGAGACCAAGTATTACTTAATGCTAAAAACCTACCTACCAATGTAGTATCTGCTGTCTTGAAGCCAAAGTTGCGTCCGCGCTATATCGGAATATTGCCAAGAAATGCCTAGCGTATACGCTTAATTGCCGCTTAAATTGCGTACACATCCCGTGTTCTACGTCAGAATGCTCAAACCATATTGGGATCCGTCCCAATTAATCACTAAGGCGCTCGCGCCGAGCCCATTGGCATTGTCGCGGGAAGAATCATCTGCACCAACAGGTCAAGCTGACCCTGCACTTGGGTTCGGCTCTGTTCCAGCGACTCGAGGCGGGAATTCATCGTCTGCCCAGTCTCACGGAGAGACTGCACCTCTTGAAGTATCTCGGCATGAGCTAGTGCCGGTACATTGGCCTCCTCCGGCTTTGCTTGATGGACACGGAAACCTTCGGTTCCATGCGGAGTGTTTGCTGCAGAAACGTCGCCGCCATGGTCAAAACCAGTATCTGGTGAAGAGGCAGGAATGTCTCGAGTCGTGGAACTCATGGGAGTTTGAGGTTTCCCTTCATCAGAATTGCCCGTACGCCGTGAACGTTTTTGAGCGTCGTGCGCAGGGTCAGCCTGTTGGCGCTGACGCTTCTCACCAGTAATGGTGGGTGTAGGCGAGTCAGTGGCCTCGGCCTGTTGTGGACTCGCGGGTTCAGGTGTAGCCGAAACATTGGGGTGCTGGGTAGCAGACGCATAATGCATTCGTTGGGATTTCAATTTTCCTCGGGCCTTCAATTTAGCGTAATTGTAACGCATTTTCCGCTCGAGTCGAACATCTGACACATCGGCACTTGCCCTTAGGGCCCACATGCTGCTTAAACGTCGCGCATAATGCGCCCAGCGGCTGAAAGCCGTGTCTTCTTCGTCCTCGGTTTCCCCCGCGTGCAGAAGGATGGGAACATCCTTTATGGGAGGAACTGGCGCACCGCGCACTTGCCTGTTAGGCGTGCCAAGTATTGGCTTTGTGTAGTAATGTGGGGCTCCAGATATCATTGTCGAAGGGCCGTTCGCGTTGCAACATCCTCGGGTAAAATGGCCTCAGGCCCAATGGTCCAGCCAGAAAGGGAATGCCCAGATGCTTCCTTTAGGCGTTCTTCCACCGTAGGTGGTTTGAACCTGTACTATCGGTGGTCTGAAGTCTCGCTATGTTCTTCGTCCGGCGCTTGGCGCCTTCCTCTTGGTCGATGGACCGCTGTTGCTGCTCGTCGAGTGGGTTGGTAACTGTTACCGTTGATGATACGTCAGGCGGGTCACGTAACGCTGTTAGCGCATCTGCTGCACCACGTTCAGGGAACGGATTCGGTGCATGACGAGTGTCATCTTTTTTTTACCTGTAAGGGTGGTTAAGGGGGACCCATCGGGTCCCACAAAGACGGTGTCACTTTCCTAATCAACCGCTTCGTCAAGGTCGCATTCAATGAATTCCCTTAGAGTTTGTGACTCATTGCCAGGAGGCGTCATGTTGTGGCCGTGAACAACCGTACGGTTTAAACATTCGCCAATGCACTACCTTAAAAAGTGGAAAGATGTAGAATGAAATTCTATGGGAACGTCAGTCTGATGGAAGAGAGTGTAACGAGATTACACAACGGTTGAAACATCATACCGAAAGTTTACGGTTGAAGTTTCCTTTTATTGCATATAATGTATTCTTGATGTTTCTCTTTACAGAGGTATTAAGTATGAGCGTTATAGTACCGTATTATCGAGTACAGTATGTATCGTCTAAACATCTGTGTATGATGTACTTAGTACAGCGTTTTCGATTATCGAGTTTTAATCGATAGGATACGGTATTACCGAACACCGTATCCTATCGATTCGGATTCGATAAATCACTAACGCTGTATCAAGTACATCATACACAGATGTTTAGACGATACGTCGTCCAATAGCAAAGTCTGCATATAATTTAATTACTAATATAGTGATTTAACTAGTGTAGTGTACTTAGAGTAGGACTATTCATAAAATCTTAAAGCATAAATAAAATCAGTTCTTATTTTGAGTTTGAGATCGCAAGTCGTTCTGACTTGTTCTCTTGTGCACTTCATGCGTTGGTTTTTTAAACCTTAAGCTTATTGCTTGACTGACTAAAAGTTTCTCCTACTTCCTTAGAACAGGGTGACTTTAGGTCGTTTCATTAGTTCCTTAGAACTAAGTGGCTTTTAGCTTTAACTCTATTTAGTTCTCTAAACTAAGAGGCTTCCAGCCTAAAGTCTTCCTCTGGCTAAAGAGCTTTGCAGCGTTGCTACATCTCTTTTTGTATCCAGTTGCAGACAGGCGCACTTGCTGTCGTCGTAAAAATGCTTATAAAAAGTACTAAATTATTAATACTAAACAATACAAATAATGTACAATGGAATATCTCTAAATAATTAGATTAATTTTTTTATATCAGAATGTCGATAACTAAAAGTTGAACGACATTCACAGTGGCGACGGATAACTCATCGAGGAGCAGACATCGGCGCTGGCAGACGAATCCTGGCACAACTCGCTTGATTTCAAAAAACCTCCATGCGTCACCATGCAAGTCGTAAAGATGTGGCTAGGCTTATATATGCGGCCAGCCTCTTTACAAAGGTCGGCGAGTAAGACTAAAAAAACGTCATTAGCAGTTAACTGAGCTCACAGAGTCAGTCTTAGCGTTGTTAGAAGAATTAAAGTCATTCAGCGTCGTCTGTCACGAACAGGCACTAACACGTCCTGCAATTCTCCGTTTCGCCTCCTCATCGCCGGCCCGTGCGCAAGCGCGACTTCCGGTCCCACGAAGCGAACTCCCCTAGAACGTGATTCTGTCCGTTGAGGGAACAGTCAGGCTGGCCAGTCTGGGACAGCTGGTTTGGTATCCGGCCTCACTTTCAAGGCGCCACCTGCCTCCTGCATGTATTATTTTATAAAAATGTATTCTTTAAGATATTTTAAATAAATAATAAAAAAAAATTGATTGATAATATGTTATTACAAGCTTCTAAATTTTTAGGTGCAGGATTAGCGACTTTAGGATTAATTGGCTACGGCTTGTTTTGATAAATCATCATAAAAAATAACAGCATGTTTTCCGTTATCTCTAAAATATTCACCTAAAGCACACCCAGTATACGGTGCTAAACAATAGATTTCGCGGAAAACCAGCTATCTCTGAGTTTGATTAGCCTTTCACTCCTAACCACAAATCGTCTCCATATTTTGCCACATATGTGAGTTCGATCCTTCAAATAGTTTTACCTATTTTTCAAATTACTAAAAACAACGACACCAACAACATCAGGTTCTAAATTTAAAGCCATCCCTTTAATATTACCATTATTAAATTCAACCATTTCCCCAGCTTGAATTTTAGTCAAACCGTAACAACGTGCAATACCGAGATGTTAATAATGGTTGGTTAATTCGATATATACATGCGAATGGTGCTTCATTTTTTTTTATTGTAGTATATGTACATATTTTTAGAGGTTTATATGCTTGGGTATGGTAAAACGGTCCCATCTGCCCCTTTAGCGTGTCCCCCGTGAAGTCCGTCTGGTTGAGCCAGCAAAAGCATAGGAGAATGACGTAGTCATGGCACAAACTAGAGAATTTTCCCTACAGACAAACCTTAAAGAATCATACAATTATATACATCAGATAAACATGATGACCTTATCGTCGTTCAGAACGCACACAAAGAATGGCTATGCATGCTAAAGTTGATGAGACGTCTTGCTCGCCACTGAGCTGATTGTCCGTTTACTTGTACTGTACATAGATGTTGTCATGCAGCCAGCGTTGCTACTGCCTTGAGGACGAAAAGGCACGAATGCCGACGACGTAGGAGCTTCTACCAGCATGCTTACGCGCACGAGTATGTCCAGCATATGATTTCGTTCATTCCTGGGTCACTCTTCTTCTTATTATATCCTCATAAGTAAAGCCAACTAACTAACTGTACCGTCAAAGCATCGAGTCAGATGGTAGCACGAGTCATCGCTGTATGTACCCATGTCTTAACGCTACTATACCATGTTATATTTGCAGTACAGTCTCACCATTCCATGACCTACCAGCTGATAGACTGACTTGACGACATCATTGGACTTTTTATACTACCTTGCAAGAGAACCGTCTGTTCTCAATATACGCACTAAGTTGGTACTTACGCTGAAACGGCTGTTGATCGAGCTATTATTAATACGGTAAGTTTATACTACATTTAGCCTTGTCGAAAAGGTAAAAATTGTCAGTCATTGACTGGGTTTAGCGCTTCATTTTGGAGCCAAGTCGTGTCTAAATCCGTGTCCCGAGCTTATAAAAAAACAATGAAATCAGACGAGTCCATGTCCGTCTTATTACCTATGGTGTCCTTAATGCTTTTACTCGTGTTTGCGGGTGGACTGTGGTTCTTACGCACTCGAAATCAATTACGGGGTGCGTCTCAGTCTTTCTTGGCCAGGTTTGTCATGTTTTTTTCGACTTGAACTCGTTCGAAATGCATTGTTTGATTGGGTTAATCTGAGCTGTTATTCGTGTCTGCTTTTGCTTAGGATGTTACTACAGGAGCAAGAGACGATCACTAGACTGGATCTGGAACGTGGTGAAGCCCAAGCTGAGCGTTGGAAGTGCTCTGTTTGTGACTTTAGTAACGCCATGGAGCGACGCACTTGTATGTTGTGTGGCACAAAGAACTTGAAACCTCCTTGTCACCAAGTTTCAGATAGAGGAGAAGAGCTGCCACGACTCAAGCAGTCGATTGCAGGGAGAGAAGAGCGACTGAGCTCTGCTAGTTCGGTGACGATGTTGGCGAGGCCTTCATTTTCGACACAGAGGTCCTCTGCACTTAGTGTAGGCACAAGACCGTCGTTGAGACCGTTGAGACTTTCGACACTTAATCCAAGACAAAAATATGCGCGACGACGGAAAGAGTGGGTGCGTTGTCTTGGAGAAGATGGCGAATCAGCTTTTTGGACCAGAGCCGATGTTGCAGTAGCTACGAGAAGACTTACGCTCGCTAGCAGCAATAGTGCAAAAATGGGAAGTCATGGACGAGTGTCGGTCGGCTTTGTGACGCAAATGGTTCGTCGGTCGTCCATGAAAGGGGACATTGGGCGTCTTACATTTGCAGAAGCCTCACAATTAGATGCAGCGCAGACAATCGGTGGGTACAAACTCACTGCACGTGAGCTGGAATTGCTTGACCGAGTGTCGAAACTGCCGTTTCCGAAAAAGTACACGTGGTTTTTGGAGCGCATGGGAGCGCTGTTAAGACCATGGGAAGAAGGACGGATTAAGCTTCGGGTACAGAGAGAACACATTCTCGTCGAGAGTATGGAACAGTTGCTGGGCATTCAACCAGAGCATATTCACTTTCCACTCCGGATTGAGTTCGTTGGTGAAGCAGGTATCGATGCTGGAGGTTTGCAGCGTGAGTGGTTTTCCATTTTGTTCGGTAGACTGCTGGACGACGAGCTCGGACTGTTTATGACGTGTCATCGACATACACAGGCCGTGGCGATTAACCCACACTCAGAAGACTGCACAGCAGATCATTTGCTTTACTTTCGAGGTATCGGACGGCTGCTTGGCCGCTCGCTACTGGAAGGACAGACGATGCAGGCAAGACTGTGTTTGCCTATTCTTAAACATTTCATCGGCACGCCGATTACGTTTTCTGACCTGCAGTACGTGGACCCAGAGGTGTACACAAGCATGATGTGGATCCGTGACAATGACGGTGTAGATGCTTTGGAGCTAACGTTTAGCGTTACCGAGCTACGAGCCGATGATGAAGTCGTCACTGTCGACTTAGTCTCGGATGGACAGAACAAGGCTGTGACAGATGCAAACAAGATGGAGTTCCTGCACCTCAGGCTACGTTATCTCATGCTAGACCGCTACGCGCCACAGCTGCAGGCGATGTCTCTTGGCTTGTTTGAGATTATTCCACAGGAGACTCTACTGGTATTTGACTATCAAGAGCTGGAGCTTGTGCTCTGTGGACTGCCTGACATCAATATGGCTGACTGGAAGCGCAATACCGTCGTCGCCCCTAGCTTTAGTGATGCCCCCAAGGTCGTTGACTGGTTTTGGGAAGTGCTCCAGGGCTTTACTGAAGACGAGCGAGCCCGTTTTTTGCAGTTTTCGACGGGCTCGTCACGCGTGCCGGTGCAGGGATTTAAGGGTCTAACGAGCTACGACGGCCGCATTTGTCCCTTCTCGTTGCGACCGTTGCCAGGACAGACACGCGGTTTCCCCAAGGTGCACACGTGCTTCAACCGCGTGGAGCTGCCGTTATATGATATCAAGACTGAAATGGAGACGGCTTTGTACGCTGTGCTTGATATGGAGTGGACAGAGTTTAGCGAGGAATGAGGCGGTTTTGAGTGTAAAGTGCAATATTTTAACGCGACGGTATTGAAGTGATCATGGTCGATTCTCTGCTGGTCATCTCCTATCGCGTTCTGTCCCGTCCCGAAAAAGACTTAACGAACTATTTCTCGCCGTCTCCCATTAGCTTTGTTTCCAGTTGAAAAGAAGACACCACGAAGCTAAGCAAAAATACCACTGTTACGTTTATCGCTGGAGAAAAGTCGCCAGGCAGTTCAAAGTCTGGCCGATACGGTAAAGCACCTAATGAATGCAATGGCTGCGACTGGGATGGGAGCAGATACGCCGCCTATTGAACCACCGAGACAAATGCTAACACTTACTTCGAGCCCTTCCAATGATGACAAAGAAGATGTAGATAAGCACGAGTACAGAGCCGACGATGAGGAGGAAGATGAAGTTGACGATGGTTTCAATGATATCCCTATATCCACGATTGCTAGTGATAATGAGTCGAGTGACTTTAGCGCAGACGAAATGACTAGGACCGGTGATGTAAGCCCCCACGAGTTTGCAAAACAGAGGTCTGATGTCCACGTTTCGGCTAATCCTGCTGGTTTCGACACGGATGCTCGTGTATTACAGGATATCGCTCTTGAGCACCACACTGTTATTCAAGACACAACCGTTGTCAATAAATACTTGTACGACGATCATGAAGACAAGCAAAAGGCGTCTGACAATGTACATAGTTACAACAATATGATGACTGTTGCTGAGACTACGTCGTCGGCAGTTATTGACCGCGTGACTGTATCAACACTGGAACCTGTAGCTAGTGATGATACGAGAGAGATTGGTGACAGCATATATAGCCACATATCATGTAACAGAAGCCAACATGTAAGCAGAGAAGGTGTGGTAGATTCGAAGCTCACGCACCAGCCGATAGACAGAAGCCTTCATGACGAAAATGATGAGATCATGAACGACGATGGAAAGGATGAGAAATTGTCCGCCAAGAAAGGTCGGTCTTCAACGGTTGAAGAATCACTCAGCGATACAGGACAACTTATGGAGGTTGAGCCGGAGGAGGACCGAGTCATTGACACTCCGACGAGAGGAGATGTGGACCCCTTTCGTGAGTCGGAGGATGAAAAGAGTAGCATCGAATGCGAAAAGCAACACTCGCTACAGGAGTCTTCGATCGTATCAGCAGCTCCGCTCATTGCTGTAGAAGGTCAGAATGGTGCGAATGGCAGATCAAACGCAATGAAGGCTACTAGCCCTTTGAAGGCAACTAAGAGAAAACAAAGCTTGTCACCCCGACGTGATTCAGCTGAGGAATCTGACACGGAAGAGACAGGTGATAATGGTGGTCATCCGTCTTCTGCAAGTAGTGTTGCTTTCACTCAAACTCCTAGACGGTCAACGCGTATTAGTCCGAAAAAGCTGAAGAAAACGCCAACTTCTCCGAAATCTTCACAACCGAAGCCTTTGCGCCGATCTTCTCGAGTGAAGGTGGAATCACCAAAGTTTACGTATCTTGCGAATAGAGAGCATGGGAGCGGCGGTTCGTCCTCAGCAACAAAAGCCAGGGTTCGTAAGCGTACGAATCATGTGACGACCTCGAATGGTGTTGTTGCAAGAAAGCAGAAGGACTTTCAAGCCGTAGGGCGCGGTAATTCGCAACTGGACGAAGTAGAAGACGACGAAGACAAGGCACCAGTACCATCATCTGCAGCAATGATACAGAGGATTAAATCCGAAGATGGGTCTAGTCAACAAGGCTTAGCTTCATCGCTTGTGCATCTCATGGGGACCGAAGCACTGGCAGCTAAACTGAAAAGCGCTTTCCAACGTACTTCATTTGCTGGAAATGCACCAATTTCTCGGTTTCAGGAGTTGATTGAAGACGACGTCACTGGCTTGCGGCACCTGAATGTGTTCAACTTACTGGATGCTGTAAACCAATTGGATGGCCCAATCACGCAAATTCGTTTGAAGCTGCCCGGTGTTCGTCGTACGACGGGACAGGATCGAGTGGAACCAGTGTCAAAAGCAAAAGCCCGGAGCTTGGAAAGTTGTTCACTTCGCTTCCCGGCACCTCGCCGTGTTGCTGAACAATTCATTGTACCGTTGGCGAAGGAGCTGGGCCTCGAGTATGCAATGCAACAGCACACCGCCACTTTGATGAACTGCCCTCTTGCGGATTCTATTGTAGACTGGCGATTCCATCGGACCGAGACTGTAGTGTTTCAGCTTGGTGGCAAGTCGGTCTGGAAAATAAAAAGGAGTCAAGTGGAGCATCCGCTTCAGTGTTTTCACCCGGAATCATGGCAGCTAGACAATATGACTCATGTTGTTAAAACGCATCGTGTGGCTACGATAGACAAAGCTACGTTAGGATTTCTATCCACGCCAGCTGAAGACCTCGATGTATTTGACAAGCCGAGAGACCAAGAGGCTACTACGCAAGGCCATCACTTGCTAAAGCCTGGATCGGTTGCGTATCTTCCTGCTGGCACTTGGTTTGAAGTTAAAACGCAGGGCCTGAACGCGCTGTGGATCGAGGTTCAGCTAGCCTCAATGACATACGAGAACTTGATGTTTTCAGCCTTGAAACAATTAGCTTGGGGTGACAAGCAGTGGCGGATGGGAGTACAGCTATATCCAGGCAACCGTGGTCAATTCAAGGCAACGCGACACCACGTGGAAGCATGTCTTAAGTCTCTCCGTAATAAGATGACCGAGCTAGAAGGTGGCGATTTACTGCCGGAGTATCGTGGTACTGACGATATGCATGATCTCGTTGCTCGTGGTTTAATCCATGACACGGGCATGTCTCCATACTTGACAAGAAACATTGAAGTGGATTTGACAAACCCCAAATTTAAGCTGAAGCATGAAAAGATCTACAAAGATGCAGCATACCGAGTGAATCCGGTTGCCGTTCTCATGAGCGTAGCTGAGATTCCACATTTACCCGTTCACGAAAGCGTAAAGTGTACTGGTGCAGAGGACCGAACCTCCGGAACAGTGCGGACGCCGCACCGTGCACTGATAAAGGCTTTAAAGCCCAAATCGAAACAAATGCAGGCGCTTCGCACGCTCACTCATTGTGGCAAACACACGTACATGCTCGACGAGCTCTTCGGCAATGATAAATTTCAGTCGCAATTGCATGTCAAGTTCCAGTGTTCCGCAGAGGATTCGAGAATGGTGGAATGGCTTCGTCACCGAGGCTCCGAGCCTTTTGATGTGGAGGAATTCAGTAGTTGTGACTCGACATTCCACTATGGCACAAGGCCAGCCCGAGATAAGGAAAGTGCCAAAAATTTGCTGCGATTTCTATGCTTCGTAGGGTACGTTACTCGATTGAAAGCGCCATAGTAAAAGCTGGTGCAGGAAGCGGTGGAGTAACTCACAACCTCAGCAATACATCGTATGCATTTGACATTGAATGTGTGATGCAGTGAGGCCATTAGCCAGTAATTTGATAATGCGTAAACGCATGCTGAATTATTTTGTCCTCCGCGTGGCGAGTTCGTTCGTCTACACGAAACCAAGGGTAGCTCTAGGTTTCGCCGGGAGTACTGTTGCCATTCCGCATGAGGAAGACCACCTTCTTTGTCGTACAAGAAATGCGGTAGTCAACAATTTCCACACCAGCAAAGGAATCAAAATTGGCAATGTGCTGAAACCCTTCTTCCAGTAGTGCTGAGTCCTTGGCTGTGAGCAAATAGTCGAACTTCACCAACTGATCCACCGTAGTCAACGATTCGTCCTTAGAGTACCTACAAACGCAACGCAGGTCAGCTACCGACTGTTTATTCATGACTACGAATGCGGTATAAGTTACAAACCTCCACGCGGGAAACTCTTCTCCAAACCGCGAGACACCTGTCATAGCGGCTGGAACATCAATATGCACGCTGCGATGTAATCCTCGCTCATTTACGGCGACTTGGTGCAAGCGCACGAATGCCTCACCACCTTTAAGGGTTATATATCAGTAAGAGCAAACGCACTAGAAAAAAGGCAGAAAAGACTTTACCAGGGTAGTTGGATCGAGCAGCCATGAGCATGAACAACGTGCCTGGAATTGTTATCAATAGACAGCCAATGGCTCCAAGAAAAGCTAAACGTGCCTACACGCAAAAAATCAGTGTTGAGGAAATGGTCCGATTGTGAGTCCACCAGCTTGCTTACTTTGCTTCTATTGCGGTACAGCTTTGCAAATCCCTACGTATCGGTGACACAATTATAATTTTCACATGTAAAACAGATATGATGATGATAAGGTAAGATCTCATCTTGTAATGACGTACCACAGCCGACACCATATTCAATATTGGGATCGCGTTAAAGATAAAACGGAGCTCCTTGTGGGGCAAAAATGAGTAAAGAGCCAGGTAGACAAACACAGGCCACACCACCGATAGCACACTCCAGTCCACAAGCGACGCCGTCTTGAATGTCCACGCAAATGCATGCAACGATCGGCTTTTTAAAAGAGCCGGAAGCAGCGTACTACTCCAAACAAAACAATAATCCCTGAGCTCTCGACACATTAATCAAATTACTGCTTCAGCACGCTAACCTTAGGCCAAGTGGGATCAGCAATGCCGTCGCTTGTAGTGCTCGAGGCAGCGCCGATGTAAAATACCACAGCGGTGGACTCACACCCCACTCGCTGCTTTTGTTCTGCACAGTATTAAACCACAATACCTCACCCTCGGGCCAGAGCCAGCGTTGCCAAAAGTACGAGTCCACTAGAATCGTCGTAATCAGTGATATAATTCCTGCCGATAAACCCCACGACATCATCCGGAAAAAAGATACTCGACGTGATAGCAACATGTTTAGTACCACTGGTGCAAGCAACACTATTGTGTCTCCACGAAACACCACTGTTGTTAATGTAAACAAGAACACACAACGTTGCCATTTTTCCTACATACACAGCAAAATAAAAAATTATCAACTTCATACTTTTTCAATACATTACAACAATTGGCGTACCCGAAGCCAAAAGCCAAGCCCAATTAGCACAAAACCCTACAAAAGTCATACACACAACCCAAAAATTCCATATTAGGTTATATACTCTACCTCGTTCTACTTTTTTTCTTACCAGTGCATAAATATTCGGTAAAGTACGGCTTAGATAAAAGAGCAAATGGAACTGACAGCTACAAATAACGAGGAAAAAGCGACTGGTATCTCGACCAAAGCGCATCTCGACGCCGTCATTAAAAAATACTAAAGCTCCTAGTGTCATCATACCCAATACCCATCGCGTCGCTAATTGCATCCAAAATTTAGGGGCATTTAAGGTCTGAATGATCCAAATTAGGGGTCGACTGATACCTGCGACAATTAATGAGCCTAAAAAGGTGCGTGGTACTACTCCCGGAAACTCTAAATGGTCAAATTTATCCACGTGTTGAATCCCAAAGACCAATAAATCATGCGTCGCTTGAAGATTAAAACTCTCCTCTACCTTAGCAAAAGGACAAAGGAATATATATGCAGTCATTACCAAAGCTGCTAGTAACTCGGCACGACGACCACACATGAACATCGCTATATAAGAAGAGCGAGTACCAATGGCATTGGTTAAATAAAATCAATACAATAAAGCAGTTTATGATCAAACGATTTAAAGGGGATTTTGAGCCAATGACGTGTCAGCTACAGTGACAATTTCATCGCAAATCGTACGGTTTTAATTGGTCAAAAAGATGATGTACCACTTTCTGCAATGTGATGTCGAGGCATTGCCACCATTTCCTGACATAAGTCGGACATTGTCATATTGTTGATGGACTACCTATTTTTTAAAAACAAGACCTTTATTATAAGGCTAATCTTTTGTATGGGCTACAGGGCCAATTACTTTGTATACCATTCTATACTTGCTTTCTTACAAACGTCAGTTCGACTCCGTATACAAAGGCGGTGGTATAATACTTGCTTGTCTGACAACTCTATGAGCGTGTTGAAAATAGCGGTAGCTGTGAGGTCGGTCGTGGTCGATCTTGACTGTCCTGTTCGCATGTTGTTTATAAAATACTCATCAGCATTTGCGTTGTATCCTCAAGCTGGTTGCGTAAGCAGCATGGTTTGTATAATTAGCTTGTGAATACAACGCAACCGAGTGACGTTCCAGCAAGTAGAAGTGACCATCGACAGCAGCGTAAAGACATTCTGATAAACCAGTATGACTAATCTGCACGTCCAATAAACATAAAATTACGAGCCGATTCGATAGTACTGACCGTTTGGAGGTCCAATAGTCGTAGGACGTCTCAATTTATCTTGTCTCGGTGTTTGAAGACAACAGTCACTATGTTGATGTTGCCTTCTGTCATCAAGCTTTCCTATGTTACCGTCTTGCGTTTGCCTCTAAGTCGAAACTGTCGAGTCCTTAAGGAATAAAGCATATTCTTATTAATGAACTAAAACGTTGTGAACATTGTTGCACGTGCTTTGAAGCTATGCAACGGTCAGATCTTTTTCGCTTGCTGAGTCTGCCCTCGAGCAACACTAGGTTTCATCAAGGGGTGACTCCATTCGTTTTGAAACGTTTGAATGCATTATAATGTGATGGTCGTTACTTAAGACATCCCATTCAACCATTAAAGGCCGTTGCCCAAGGCACTCTAAAAAAGACCTCTGCGTCAGGTTCAAGGGAACTGATGCTAACACCGTAACGCAAGCTCAAACCTTTCGCAGCACTGAGAACGCATCTCTTTCGCCAGGAAAATGAGCCAATTGATCCTGTTGCGTATCAGCGAGATGCGTCTTTTGCTAACCGTAATTTTGAACTATTAGTAAGACTTACTGGTCTTGCAGGTATCGGACATTTACACCACCAACTATCCTTTTTTGCGCTTTATGCACGACACTATGTACTGCCAGCCTTACGAGCGCTGTGGTATATACATTGATACATTCGACATAGCGATTTGTGCTTTCAACGTGACTAATCTTACAACCTCAGCAAAACTTGTAATAAAAGCATAAGTACAAGATTAAATGCTGTATTCTCGTATGATGTTATCTACTAGCTTTTAGCATTAACAGACTTCTTTTCCCTCAAAAAGGGTACGATTCTTCCAATGAGGTCCAGAAGTTGTAATCATTAATGCACATTTTCGACCCCTTACCCCAGTCCGTTAGATTTAAAGCACAACGCGCATTTTCCGAAAGCTGATCCCACATGATCAGATCCTGAAAGCCACCCTTTTCAGCAGTAGGTTCGAATTCATAGCTGGAGAGAAGATCGTTATTTCTATTACGTCGATAGTAATATTTGAGTTTTACATTCGTGCCATCCACTATGGTGTCATTTATGGAATGGTATTTCTCAAATCCGTGAGGAGTCGACACCGACAAAGCCAAGATCTTGGCGTTTTCGACGGCAGCATTGTTAATCCACACGGAAGCACAAAGCCAGTCGTGACGCTTACCATACCCATCCGTTATTTGCACCTTCGGGGTGTAGTATGCGTACATGAGAACATACCGGCCCTCGTGCCAAGCTGCACGCCCGTAAACTTGAGACCCATCCTGATTTCCCTTGCAGTTACCGGTTAGGTCTCCGGTAGGCTTAAGCCCACCGGTAACATAACCTTCAGCGCTTACTGCAGGGTACATGTGGCATGTATCTTCACCAATTGTGAGTCTCGGTTTAAATTTGATGGCAGCCTTTTCATCAGGCGTAACGGGGTCAAGCTGGCGAAGCGGTATGATATTGTCGTGATTGACCTTTCTGTACCTCGGGCACCCATTTAACGGCGCATCAAAATAACCAGCTTCCTTGGCCGTTACATGGTCTACGACCGTAGTAATTCCGGCCAATGCGACACATAGGAAGCCAGCGATCTTCATGGTTGGAGAATTTTCACTTGTTGACTCTATTTCAGGATGAAAAAAGAATAATGAAATGGTGGGAGACGATAGCGTCAAGAAAAGTCGATGAAGTATGGGCGTCACCGAAGTTGGTTTTAATATAGTTTATTCAAGAATCTGTACAACCCAAATTCGTTCTTCATACAAAGAACAAGTCCAGTCGTAAAAACGTCGTGCAGTAATAATTAACAAATGGTCGAGCTTTCACATCGCAAATCGTAATCTTATCATGCTTAAAGTGCGCATGGCCGGACTTGAGATTGAAACGTTGTGCAGAGCTCGAAAGCCTTTCGAAAAGCTCAAGAGTCACCACATGGATACGAAAGAAAACAAGTCACATATGGATTGAATGAGACGAATGAAACACGGTGATATATGGCTAGGACTGCTGCCGTTATGAGTTGCCTGTAAGAATAAGGAGATGCCACGTGCCTTTGTCTTTACCTGTTTTCTAACAATCATTCGTATATTCCGTACAATTCATCTCCATCCAGTCTCCCATCCAAAGATAGCAATGGAAGGGTCGGCGATAGTACGGCTTTCTGGCGATTATCACCTATCGGCCACCGCTCTCTTTAACATGACCTTTACTATAGCTGCATTTGTAAATATTACTGCTCGCTTATAGAGTTGTCAGACGAGCAAATATTATAAAATTCGGAGTCGAACTGACGTTTGTAAAAAAGCGAGAATAGAATGGTACACGAAACAAGTGGCCTGCAGCCCAAAAGATTAGCTAGATGGTAAAGGTCTAGTCAAATTGTTGACGGACAACTAATTACTTTGTTATAAAGTAATGCGTTGTCCGACAACAAAGCGACGATGTCCGGATGATGTTAAGAAATTGTGGCAACTTTCAGTCGAAATGGGCGCGAGCCCAAAGCTCATTGGTAAAAAAGATGAAGCTGCTTACCGCCCATGTCGTATCTCGCTGACTGGACGTTGCCACAATTTCTTGACATAATCCGGACATCATCAAATTGTTGTCGTTATTTTAATGAGTTGTCCGTCAACAATTTGACTAGACCTTTACCATCTAGCTAATCTTTTGGGCTGCAGGCCACTTGTTTCGTGTACTCGCTTCCTTACAGACGACAGTTCGACTCCGTATACTAAGGCGATGGTATAAAACTCGCTTGTCTGACGACTCTACGAGCGAGCAGTAACATTTACTAATACAGCTATATGTTAAAAAGAGCGATAGTTGAGAGCGCGGTTACCGCCAAAAAATCCGTACTATCGCCGACCCTTCCAATTCTATCTTTGGATGGTAGACTGGATGGAGACGACTTGTACGAAAGAGAGTACGTTAGTAACTGTACTGTACCAAAGACCTGTCGCCTGGGTGAGACACACTATGTGTCACACCCTTGTGTATGTGATATACACTAGGTGTATTCACATTAATGGGGATGACGCCCAGCTGGGACTAGGCGTCATCAAATGACGTCAGTCAGTTACGTCGTTAAGCGAGCTTGACTACATTTAAGCTCGCACGTAGGCATGCGCTCCTAAGAGATGGCACCAATCATTACATATTGACCACTCAGTACTTAGATTAATATCTAGTTAAATTATATTAGATACAAATTAGTCTTGAATTTGCTAAACTAACGCTCACTGCCCCATGATAAGCTGAATAAGCTTTTGCGTGGCGTAAATGAAACACTTGGTTTAAATATTTGTTGGTGGTTCGCTTCGGCGAGTGGCAATCGTTGGTTTTACCGCGAAAGCGGCCGACTATCCACCCACCAGATAAGACTTTCTAACCGCTTTCGCTCGAGCATGAAGGTGTGAGCCTGTAGTCGTGGCAGCTACTTTAAATTGCCCGTCTACAATCTGGTCGTAATGTTAATACTAACGTGTATTCCTTTCGTTCCGACGAACACGGTTATATAAATAATATTTATATACGGGTAAATTTCACGAAGTTTACGCAAATAGTATATTTTTGGGTATATAGACATCCTTAATGCAAGCGTTTCGCTCTATACAACATTGCGTATCGCTCGACGCATCACGGAGTCTTCCTATTTATGTACCGAAGCGTTCTGAGGTGCCGTAGCACGTGAGAAAGCAGCGTACAGTTGCTCATGCAAGAGCACATTTTGGAAGCCTTATGCCGATACGCTGCAGCGTCTGTCCCTGCAAATTGTTAGTCATGATTTCGTACGTTAGGTGCACGAATAAATGCTTCAGACAAACGGCGTGTGGAAGGCCTCATTGATCGGAAATCATCGCGATCCGTGGATGAAGCACGCGAAGCCGGTGCAAGCTCGCATCAAAACTTTATCTTTAATCACACGTGCCGAGCACTGGAGTACGATGACACGGGTGCCGTTGCACAGGCCGTTCGATGCATCCAGCTTTTCGTAATAACTTAATAGGTGTGTAGACCTTTAGCTGTAGGCGATGCGGCGGCCAGCAATTAATGTCGATCCGTTATAGACCTCCGTCGGAATGACGTTGGATCCTCCCTGTCGTCAACTTTGTTGGTGTAACGGGCTAAGGACCCGTTACCGTCTTTCACTAGAAGGGCGTTGAGGAAGCGCTCTTAATGAACTCGTAAATATAACTCTGTTTTATTTTTGTTTTAGTTTTGATTCAAAGTAAGTGCGAATATGTTCCCTAGCTCATGGGAACCACTCAATATGGAAGTCAATATATTAATTGGCTAATTATTGGGTCTGGCACCCCAATAATGAACCAATAATAAAATGACGCGCAGTATCCGATTAGCGGATACTGCCCTATGCCTGCTTATGTAATTATGTATTATCCCTATAACTACTTATGTAATAGGTAGACCCATTTCATCACCCCCCTCTTAAAGTTGCGCTTACCTCAACGTAAGCGCGAATCGCAGAAAGTTTCTTCTAGACCAACGGCGTAACTCCGAACCTGCTCAGTTAGACTTAAGTGAGCAGCATGGACCCTAGGCGTCCACGAAACAATGTCTCTGACATCCAGAACTATGGCACCAAGCGACAATCCGTAGAGAGCAGGCGCCGCAGGTCATGGATAGGGACTTGAAACCGTGGCGCTTGTATGGTCTTGAAGGTGCTGTCGAACCCGAGCCACTGGAGGTCATGAAGAATCTTTTCACGCGATACCGTACAGTGATAGGCAAGGCGACGAACAACGCATATACCGACGACGCGTTGCAGAGGTCTTGGTGTGCCTTCATCAGGCGCTGAAACGCGAGCCGACGTGAAGGAATGTCCTTCATGTCCTGGTTAGACGGTCGCGAGGGAACGCGTGATAGACACGCTATTAACGACCTGCCGACGCATCTGTCGTATGACTTGTGACGACTATCACCTTTGTTACGTCCACATTCGTGAGGGATGTCCAACGTGCAACGTGGGCAGATCGCGACCGTTCCGGCAGGAATGGGACGATTTGGTGTGTGCGCGAGGCATGCCCGACCATATTCGTCCATGGATTGCCCATTATGAGAGAAGCCTTTCGGAGCTCCAGGTGTCCAAGCTACGGCGAGTGAGAGCGCGTCCTTACGATCGCCGACGGCATTCACGTAGTCGAGGTCGTCAACCGTATCATCCATATGCTCCCGAGCCTCGTAATAAGGTCTCGGTCTCGGAGTCGCTCGGGAGGTCGTTGCGGTTTCGTTGCGCGAGCATTACGGCTCGCGAGATCGGGGATGGAACCGGCAGCGTCGGTCACGATCACCGTCTTTCTACGGGACTCGTAGTCCTCGACCACGTTTGGGACATCTTGGGACAGCGTACTCGATGGCTCCCATGTATCGTCCGCCGGGGAATATCCCAACCAGCGAACCCTGTAATGTTTCTCGACACGCTTCTTCATGGGCGCCAAGTTATTACTCGGCGCCTGGGACTTGTGATCCTCGTGATCGACAATTCGGTCGACAATCCAGCGTCGCGCACCCAATGCATCGACTAATGGAGGAGGAGCATCACGACGGAAGGCCGATGAGCGCCGATTTTCGTAATCGGGCGCCTGTACAGTCGAATGATGAGCTGCGCATACTCCGCGCTGAAGCTGAGGAGTCGAAGAATGCCTTACTTGATGCTCGCGAGATAGCTGAGAGAGCTCAAGATCGTGCGGATGCTGCTACTGAGGCTGCTGAGCGTACTCGACTTGAGCATCTGGTACTTGTTGAGCGCCTACGTCAACTTGAGACGAATGCGTTCAAAGGACCCCAGCAGGTCGAGTCTGCACGCGTTCGGGCAGGACTTGGTCCCAGTCGTCGTCAACGTCGTCGTCAAGGGATGTCGGATTTCGAGCCGGCACAGAAGAGCGGGGAAGATTCGAAGGGAGATCCGTCGGCAGGTAAGCCTTGAGGCGCCCGACGTACAATGTCGGGTGTAAACGCATAGATGTAGGTATGTCTAGCGTGTAAGCGTCACCATGCACCTTAACAAGCCGAAATGGGTCAATATATATTGGTGCTAACTTATTATCACCCAAATGCGTCACTAATGTGTTCGGTAATTCACTTGTTGATAACAATACTCTGTCACCTTCTCGAAATATCAACATATTCTTTCGACCTCTGTCTGCATTCTCCTTTTGCTTGCGATGGAAAGCATCGCGTCAGAAGTCGATATGCCGTTGGACAGTATTAGGTGCATCGGCAGCAACCTCATTCGCATCGTAATCAATCATCAATAGTTTCGGCGCAATTTCATCCATAGATACTTCCCCACCAAGCTTGGCGACAGGGTGTTTTGAAGCTGAGAGAGCAGTAGCGCCGGAACGCGAGGATGCCTCGCGTTGTTAACGAAAAAGGGCGTTAACCCGGTTGACGCGTGGACAGCATTGTTGATTGCAAACTCTGCAATTGGAAGAAATGAACTCCATGATGAGAACGATGTTGCATAACTGCGCAAGACATCTTCGAGCACTCTGTTCACACGCTCCGTTTGCCCATCCGTCTCTGGGTGGGCCGCCGTAGACATAAGCAACCGCGTGCCTAATAGCTGGAATAATTCGGC